CTCCTCCTCCTCCTCCTCCTCTTCTTCTCCTTCTTCTTCTTATTTCTGCGTAGTTTTTTGTATAGTTTTTTCTTTTCTGTTATATTTATTTTCTTCTATTTATTTGTGAGTAGTTTTTCATCTAGTTTGCCAAAATTCAACATTTTCAGAGTTCATTTTGTATTCAATTTCATGGTCATTTTGTAAACGATTGAAAAATAGCAAATATAATTTTTTTTTTCTTTTCTGCTTTATTTTTTCTTCTATTTATTTCTAAATAGTTTTTTCTTTTCTGCTATATTTATTTTCTTCTATTTATTTCTGAGTAGTTTTTTTATTTTGTTTTTTCTTTTCAGCTATAGTTTTTCTTTATTTCTGCTATTTTTTCTTTTCTGCAAAACTTGATGGTCAAAGTCTGGAGTTATAACTTAAAAAAAATAAATGTCGACGTGCAATTAGTTTTTGCCATAACAGAAGAAGTCCGGAGTTGTAATAAGTTATTAAAAATAAAAAAGAGGTGCAATGCTCGTTAATTTGCTTCAAGCCATTCGGAATAGTGTAAACTGCACTGCGCATAGCTCCATGCAGTCTACCGTATTCCTGAAGGCTTGAAGCTAAGCAACGTGAGCATTGAGCCTCTTCTTCATCGTCTCTGCACTCAGGGCTTATAAACCGCTCCTAGTCCCTCTCACTTCGCGAGGTGGGACTAAAAAACAGCTTGCCATAACCTCATTAGTACCGGTTCGAGGTACGAACCGGCACTAAATGGTGGTGGTGGGGCCATAGCCTGACCGCAGGCTGACATAGCCTCTTTAGTACCAGTTCGTGGCATGAACCAGTACTAAAGGTTCGCCACGAACCGGTGCTATTGATCGCCGCCACGAACCGGCACTAGTGTACACATTAGTGCCGGCTGAAATTCCAACCGGCACTATTGTGCTTCACATTTGACCCTTTTTCTACTAGTGCAACTTGTACCACTAAAATCATGGTGAATGGAGACCCCGGAGATATTATATACAGCTGTAAGGGGCTCAGGCAGGGTGATCCGATATCACCGATGCTCTTTATTCTCACCATGGAGCCGTTGCAAAGGTTGTTTCAGCAAGCAACACAAAGAGGACTCTTGGAGCCATTGGCTTCTCGAGGGATGAGGCAACGGTTGTCGATATTTGCGGATGATGTGGTGGTTTTCATCAAACCAAAGCCTAGAGAGCTCGAAGCTGCGAAGTGTATTTTTGAGATTTTTGGGGAGGCTTCAGGTTTGCGGATGAATATGGTGAAATCCGCGGCCCTCCCGATAAGGTGCTCCGATCAGGAAATCGACATGACTAGCAATGTGCTAGGATGCCCGACAGGGTCCTTCCCTATAAAATACCTAGGCCTCCCGTTGGCACTAAGGAAGCAAACTCCGACGCAGTTGCAATATTTGGTGGATCAAATGGCAAATTGTCTCCCTAAATGGAAGGCGGATTTGATGCCTAAGAGTGGACGGTTGACCTTGGTCAAATCGGTGCTATGTGCAATGCCCATTCATGCAATGATGGCCTTGGATATCCCAATGAAGACCATAGCTGCGATGAACAAAGTGTGTCGAGGTTTCCTATGGTGCAAGCGAGCTAATGCGAATGGTGGCAACTGCGCTGTCGCCTGGGACTCAGTCTCTGCTCCGAAGTGGGCCGGAGGACTGGGCATTCCGAACCTTAAATGGCTAAATGTGGCCATGCAAGCTAGGTGGCCATGGCTGCAACGGGTGGACTTGAGCAGACCTTGGAGTGAATTCACAATAAAGGTTCCAGCGGAGGCACTCTGTTTGTTCCAGCCTGCTACCAAGTGCGAGGCACATTGTGGACAGAACACCCTCTTTTGGGAGGACCGTTGGATTAATGGGATGAGGGTACAGGAGATCGCACCAATTGTATATGGCATGATCCCCCGACGTGTGAGACTGACGAAGCATGTGGCACCGGCCATTGAGGATGGTTCATGGGCTATGTATGTCGGCCCGGAGCTGGATGAGCAAGCCTTGAGGGAATTTTTATCCCTATGGCTGTGTGTGCACACGTGGGGGCCGGAGGTGGATGTACCGGACAAGGTTGCATGGTCCTGGGAGACGAACGGTCGCTATTCGGTGAGGTCGGCTTATGCGGCAAAGTTTTGGGGCCGTGAGGTGGCACCAATGGCGGAGCTTACTTGGACATCCAGGGCCCCCTCTAACTGCAAGTTCTTCGCTTGGCTAGCACTACGAGATCGGTGCTGGACCTCGGATCGACTTGCACGAAGAGGGTTGCCACATCAGGACGCATGCCCTCTTTGCAACCAGGAGGAGGAAACGATCAACCATGTGCTATTTAACATGCGTGTTCTCTCGTGCTGTATGGGCTGTTATCTGTGAGGCTTTGGGCAAGATGCAATGGACACCGACGGCCCAAGACGCGCTGGATGCTTGGCTGCGGGACAAGCAAGGACCGAACAATCTACGGCGCAAGGATCTGCATACTATCTTCATTCTCATTATTTGGGAGTTGTGGAAGCATCGCAATGCTGCTGTGTTTGAAGGGGCATCCTCCTCCATGTATGTGCTTATAGCTAGGATCAAGTCCGAAGTGAAGATATGGTCGTTGGCCGGCAAGTTCAAAGGGGATGTTGAACCCTTCTTTGGTAGTTTAGAAAGGTGGGCGCGTAGGGAAGGATAAGTGTAACGGGAACCTTGTAAAACATGGTGGAGGCATTCTTTGCCTTTCTTCTTTAATATATAATATGCACGCTCGTGCATATTCGAGAAAAAAAAACATTTTCTGTGTCCATAGACACTAAGATCAAGCTCCTGCAGCGACTCTGAGTGGATTGTAACATCATGTGCGGATCTATCTGCCATCATCTTGAGCACGCGCAAGCGCAGACAGCGGGTGATCATTGTGACAAGGTTTACGATGGTGCAGCCCGTGAGGCACAGCCTCTCCAGAGCAGAGAACTCTCTCGCTGGTACCTGTGTAAATCGGAAGGTGTGCAATTTCATGTCGATCAACATGGCCTGGTGGAAGTAGGGCAGGTCGACATTAATGCATTTGAAAGAGCTGTTAGTGAAGACGAGCTGCTGCAGAGAGAGCCTCGCTGCAGCGCGCATAAGGGAGGCAAAGCGAACGCCATTAACACTGTGCCTCCTATTATTAATTTGGTTGCGTTCGGTGCCAAGAAGGGGCACCGTGAGGCCGAGGGCCACGGCCGCCTCGAGTGTGGTGGCGAGCGCGGCTTGGAGCGAGCCAAGCTCGACCTCACGGAAGGTGACCCTGAGCAGCCGTAACCGCGGGCAGTGGTTGAGAAAGGCGTTGATGTATTCTTTATTATTTTTTCAAGTTGACAAGGCTAATCACATTGCTGAGCCACCCAGGGCAGGCATGTATTTTCTTTCTCAGGACACAAACAAAACAGGGACCATGCAGACTTCAGGCTTGTGGTGGTGTGGACACCAACCAAATACACTCCAAGAATAGATAAGCACTATATTAAGCACCCTTATCACTGTAAATGGTGAAAAACTGTGCTGCAAGCACATGTCTTGATACCCGAAAATTCTAGGGACACTCTCCTCCTTTGCACTTACCAAAACATGGAATGATGGAACAGAGCCCTTTTCCTCCTTTTATCAAGAAGATCTGACCGTATTGATCGAATGTTGTATCCAAGACCTAAGCATATGGGCAAATGAAACTAAACAAGCACATGTATTTGTTTCATTGGAATTCAAGCCTATAACAAGCTAATAGCAACCCGACTAGCGACCGCACGGTCAGCAATATAGCAGCATTAATACTATTACAAACCAAGAGCAAACACTCGAATGTCTCAAACCCAAACATACATCAATTTTAGATGACTAGTTATCTGAATGATCTTATATTAGTTTACAGAGGGGGTACTAGTACAGAATATATATAGAGGACTTAAGGATCATGGAAACCAGCCACAGTCAGAATCTTATTAACCTGCACCTGCAGGAACCACGTCGCACAAGACAGCAGCCGCAACAGCAACATACATATACCGATTGTCTTCATCTTCCTTGGATCGAATCAATCCTCCTAGCACTGCCCTAGTGAAAAGACAAGAACATGTTAAAATTGAATCCAAATCAAGGGAGGGAGAAAATACATACATCAGACGAAATTAGCGCTTCCAAACTCCAAGCAAAAGAAGTGAAGGGAAGATGTACCACAAACGAAAGAAGACGACCCAAAAACAAACGTACATTAGCACGGGAGGCTAGTGTTATTGCTGTTAGATGATTTTTCAAACATGATCAATTATGAGCTTATCTTTTTTGTTTGTCGCATCTAGAGAGAAAACATTTATTCATAGATACATATGTATGTACTGATGAATAGCTAGTATGATGCATGCACACATGTATTACAAGGAGTTGAGTGACATATACATATGTATTGCTGGAGCAGTGAGTTGGCGAGCGATCATTGTTGCAAGGTATACTGCCAGCGCATTCCATACATTCTGGGGCATTCACACAGTGATGTAAAGAACTCATCAGTGATTTCCCTAAAGAATAGGTCTTTGAGGGGTACGAGAAACTCAATGCCAAGTGGGACCTCAGTCAACCTATCAAGTTGTGCTAACCAAAAGGTTTCCAGGTTCACCATGGTGCCTTCATGCAACACTAGACTCTTGAGGTTAGGCAGGTCCTGCAAGTAGAGGGTCTTCAACTTTGGAAACCATCCAGGGAGAAAAGTCAATTCCTCTCCATTGAATGCTCTGTTAAGCCACAACACTGTCAAGTTTGACATTGTAGTAATGGAAGGCACAGGACTTTCTGTCAACTGTGTCCAATGAAGAGACAGTTCCGTCAAGTTTAATTGGAAGAGGGGGGAGTGCTCTATTGTCCCTGCGGCCAATCGTCCAAGAATACAAATCTTCTGGAGCTGAGAAGGCGGTGGATTAAGGCCGTCTAACTGGAGAACCTGATGTTCATCAACTGCATGAATGGCTAAACTGGACAGGAATTGCATCTCAGCCAGTGATGCGCAGAGCTGTTCGCACTGGACCACCTTCACATCCCATAACCGAATGGTCCTCATCTGCGTAAGCTTCCACAGATGCATAGTGCAATCATCAGCTCCTACTGCCACCAGTGTCTGTAGATTTGTGAGATTGCATAAACCATCCTTGGGGAAACGCAGGGCGATACGACTCGGGAATTTTCTCTCGAAGAGACCACAAATTTTCTCAGCATACAAGTGCCTAAGCTTCTTGAGTTTGGCAATCCCTCGAGGCAACTTCTGTATGTCAGAATTAAATAGATCCAGTATCATCAAGTTGACAAGATTCTCGATGGACCTGGGGAGGAACTTTACCCTTGAGTTACGCAATGACAAGTGACGTAGATTGAACAAATCCCCAATTGCATCTGGAAGCTGCTCAATAGGTAACCCATTTAATTCTAGTACAGCGATATATCTAGAATTGCATAACACTGAAGCTAGTAGTAGCATGGATTGTGGTTGTGACATCTGCATCATGTTGTCCAATACAATAACAGATCGAAGGTGGTGCATGCTTGAAATCAACTCATTAGTCGTATTACTGAGTTTGTGGACTACTAGCCGACGTCCACCGCTGATGCCGTTGACTAATCTCCCACCTCTGTAATCCTCAGATGTAACACCAAAGCATTCTCTGTGACACAAATCTATCGCCAGCTCACGTACAACATCATGCATTCTAAGGAGCTTTATCCTACCAAGTGAGTTTCTCTCAATAAGCTGTAGCATGTTTCTCTGAACCAACTCATTTAAATAGCCTTCGGCCACTTCCTCCATTGTGCAACTTCCTCCCCTCTCTACAATGAACCCTTCTGTTACCAACAGTCGGATCAAGCTTTTCCTTTTGAGAAGATAGTCCTCTGGAAATAAGCTGCAGAATAGGAAACAGCTCTTCAAATATGGTGGAAGGTAGATGAAGCTCAGATGCAAAATATTCCTTACATGATCAAGCATCGGATTATTAATTAGCTCCCAGCTGAGCTGATTATTTATCCGCCTCCATTCATCCATAGTCTTGTCACGCACAAACAAGAGACTGCCAACAGAGACAATCGCAAGAGGTAAGCCTTCACACTTCCACAATATCTGTTCTGACAAAGTCTTCAATTCTGGAGGACATTTATGATTTGGAAAAGCCTTCTTACAAAAGAGTACCCATGACTCATCCTTTGACAAGGGCTCCAATACGAGTATCCTATTTGGAGTAGCAAGGTGAGCTACATCAGAATTTCGTGTCGTGATTATTATTCTGCTCCCATTGCGATTTTCAGTGAGTGCTCCAAATAGATCAGTGTATGCTTCTGGAGTCCAAACATCATCAAATATAATGAGATATTTCTTCTGTTCCAAGTGCCTCTTCAGTGTCTCTTGAATGGCTGCGAAATCCATGGTGGCGAACGCAGCAGGAACATTCTCTTTGCCCATAAGATCAATGATCAATCTCCTAAGAACATCCTCTTTGGTGTAAGTTTGTGAGATGGAGACCCATGCATGGCAATTATATTTCTCTCGCTCTTTCTTATAGACAGTTGCTGCGAGGACGGTTTTCCCGAGCCCTCCCATGCCATGCAGAACTATTATAGACCGTGCCAATTCATCATCTTCCAACCACTGTACAAGTTTTTGCTTGTTATCTTCATTGCCAACAAGACCTTCTTCACCAAGAGAAAGTGAATTGCTTGCCAGTTCTTGGGACATCTGGACAATGTACCTGGAGTCCCCACTGTTCGTCATGGGAACCCATCGGTCTTTTGTTTGAGATAGGTGTGTCAGGTCTCTCTCTATTTCCTTCACCTTGGATGCTATGGTGCTCAAAGAAAACATAGATTTTGGTTTTTTGAACCCTTTCTTCAGGTAAAAGAAGCACCCTGTTGTGTCATGTTCCTGACCAACTAGATACAAGTACTGATCCACCATATCCTCCATCCCATGTGCCACCCTACGCACCTCTTTCAACCAGGCTAAGTATGCTTCATCGCTGCGGTTGCGTATGTCCATTTGACAGATAGAACAATGCATCACATTAAGCTCCGTCACAATGCGTCCCATGCCACCCTCAAGCTCTTTCAGTTGTGTCCTATATTTAGCAAACTTGGCATTTGCCTGCTTTGCTGCTCCATTTGCTAAGGCAATTCCGATCTTTTCAATGGCCAGAAGAAGGATTGTCTCTGCCATCACTTACTGAGAGCAGGCTAGCTAGTTTCCTACTTTTGGTGGTGTTTTAGTTGTACATTTCCTCAACAACTTAGAATAATCATCTGCAAAATGAAGCAAGTGGTTCATTAATTCGTTGTGCTATTGCCATTTCTGGACGTAGGAAGGGGAAACATCGTACTCCCTCCGTTTCTAAATATAGGTCTTTTTAAAGATTTCAATATAGAGTCATCGTAGATTAGATACAGATGTATATAGACACATTTTAGAGTGTAGTTTCACTCATTGTGCTTCGTACTTGAAATCTCTAAAAAGAGTTATATATTTAGTGACGGAGGAAGTAGCTGGAGTGGTTGACTAAACTAGGAGGCATTAAGATAGATCTCATGCATGATTTGAAGTTACCATCAAATGAGATCAAATTAGGGGGCTTGAGCTTTGTATTCCGGCGACATAGGACGAGTGAAACTTAGCCACGGCTACGGGGACGAAACCGCGTGTGAGAAAGAGGGGAAAAGGCGGGGGCTTACATCGCGCCTGCAGGTGTGCAAAGATGTGCTCGGGGAAGGCTCCCTGGAGGCGGCGGTTCCCTGCGACGGCGACGACGGAGCAGAGGAGGAAGAAGGAGTCGAGGCGGGTGCTCCGGCGGCCCCCAGCGCGGTCCAGTGGAACCAGACGAAGAGGACGACGGCGCTGGAGCTCCAGGACAGACCGGCGAGGCCGGA